TTAACAATTGGAGAATAATTGCACTTGCTTGTCCGACATGTGTACAGATACGGCGAACGTCTTTCCTTCTTCGTCATCGTATAGAAAATCCGTATCGATAATACACACTGACGGTTCAAATTATACCGATGACTTTCCCGGGCAAGCGATAAAAACAGCGAATCGCTTGCGATAGGTCGCGGCACACGCGAACAGCCAAATTTAAAGCTTCAGAATTAGAAGCAGCGATTGGAGAGGATTGAAAACAAATATTTATCACTGGCGAGAGAGTAAACTCAACGTGTACTCAATCAATCAATGGGCGAAAAAGGTAAAACAACGAGTGTGCGTTTATTTGTTGTGCCAAGGCAAATATGAAAATATGACGAGAAGCGTCGAATTGACGGACTCACGGCCCGGCAGCGCAGAACTGGCACGTCTCGAAGGAAAACAACGACAAGGCTGCTATTTGCGGCCGAAAAGGCCGGCTATTATTACGGAATTGTACAATACAGATGGGCCGAAAGGAGATGGCCGGTGGAGCAGCGGCTGTCCTACGTAAGAAGCGCAGATCGGTCGGTCACGCCAAGGAAGCGCAGAGCGGCGTGGGCGTAGCGAGCGATCGCAGGCCGGCAGCGGGAGATAGTTAGCGATGAGCCTCGCGTTGCGCACCGGCGGGCGGGCGCGCGCCGAGGAAAATCACCGGAGTCGACGACCTCGGCGTCGGACGAGGAACAGCCGCGCGAGTCGACGGCGCTGGAGCGCTTTTCCGCGGAGCCACGCGCGAGAGCGCACCGCGGCGCCCGCGGCTGCGATCGGCGCTGCCGGCGATGAGTCACGGCCAGCGGCGGCGGCGGCGGCGGCGGCGGCGGCGGCGGCGGCGGCGGCCGCGACGACCACTATCCGGGCTTATCTCGGTGCAAGCGGTAGCGAGGTCTCCCCCGCAGTGGCCGCCAGTCGACCGAGGCAGGCGCCACGAGGAAGCCGGCCGACCAGTCTTCGGCTACGGTGCGCTCTATAAAAAGCCCGCGGCGCGTATTTAGCGCCGCGCACCCGCTGGTCGTCCGAGGTACCGCGTGCGGCGTCACGTGCGCGCGCTCCGACTAATCTTCTTCGGCGTTACGTCAGCGGGCCGCGGACTGCTCGTGTCACGTGACGCGCCTCGCAATTGTTTACGAACACAGCTGCCGCGCGTCTTGGCAGCTCCGGCAAACGGGCCATTATCTCGCACCTCTCTATATTCTTTTACGTAACCTGGCGACTCGGTTCGCGCGGGCTCAAGTGGCGCGGATAACGAGCTGGCAGAAATTGCACGCGGGCCAATAACCCCTTCTTGCTGCCGAATTCGACGAGCAGCCGAGGCGGGCTCGCCAAATTTCCAAATTTTCCGAAAAGCCTACGCTAATCCACTAGATTGCTCGGCAATTGGCCCTGACCCGAATTGACGTCCAGGTAATGTTTTGATAAACGATTCTCGCAATTGAACGACGAGCTTCGACTAGTCTCTCTCTCTCTCTCCCTCTCTCTCTCTCTCTCTGTATTTGCACTTGGCAAAGGAATACTAAAAAGCCTCGAATTCATATAGCTTCGGTAATAAGATCTATCAACTTCGTCGTGCATGGCGTCAACCACGACTTTCGAATTGCCATCGTAACCCAATCAAGAGAAATGAAAAGCAGCCGTTTGGTGCAAAAATTAAGGGATGGGTAAAATCTTCTCAGGCGTCTTTAGGGTAACCTAAATAGATGCTTTACATAAAATCAACTCGAATTCCGGATCAGTTCTTTGTATGAGGGCTCAGAGTTGGCATAAACACGCTTTTCAATTGTGAAAGCTATGGTATATATTTGTTATTGTAACAAGTGCAAAGAACCCTCGAAAACTAGCCATTTTCCAACATATCGGATATTTATTGCAAAAATAACTTTCTGTAATTTTTATTCCGATTTGAAAGAAGCACTTGTGATTAAAAAAATGCCTTATACAACGGAATTTGTTAATTAATTGCTGAGATATTATTAGTTAATTAACAAATATCGAAAGTGCGTGGTTGTAATTTTCTTTATTTGGTCGAAATGTTAATACTGATATTTTATTAGGGGCGAGTAAAAAAATTAATTTTCAATCCCTTATTTTGAGGTTTTAAAAAGCAATACTTATTTTATCATAAACGAATAGAACCGAGGCTTCCCAAGACATTGCATAAATATCTAATTTCAAATTTCGAATAAGTGAGTTCGTAACGAAGATTTTGAAAGAACTATTTTCAATGAATGCGAGCCAGTTTAAGTTTCTTTTTTAATCGCAGTCCTTGTAATTACAGTAGGAATTTAAGTTTCTTTAATACATTGCTACACTTTAAAAACATCGGTTTTTTCTTATTGATAATGAGGTTTAAAGTAAAGGGTCGAAAAAGCCGAAGGCCGGTCGCGATGGTGGAGGGTCTCAGCCAGGCCTCTCTCGCTCAAAAACACTGAAAATCGCGCGCTGACACCTATGCGCTCGGAAAATCTGAGCATTT